GGGGACATTAGGGAGACACAAGGCAAGGCCCTGGGGACATTTGGGGACACTCTGGGACATTGGGGACACTCGGGGACACCTGGGGACATTTGGGGACATTTGGGGACATTTGGGGACCCGGGGAGTGATGGGGACACGAGGGGACAGGGGAGTGATGGAAACACAGGGGACACATGGCAGGGTCCCGGGGACACCTGGGGACACCTGGAGACCCCTGGGGACACACCTAGGGACACCTGGATCACACCTGGGGACACAAAGGGACACCTGGGGACACCTGGGGACACCTGGGGACACAAAGGGACACCTGGAGACCCCTGGGGTCACACTTGGGGACACCTGGGGACACCTGGAGTAATTGAGGGTCACCTGGGGACATCTGGGGACAGTTGGGGACACCTGGAGAGCCCTGGGGACACCCTAGGGGACACAAAGGGACACCTGGGGACACCTGGGGACACCTGGGGACACAAAGGGGACACCTGGGGACACCTGGGGTCACACTTGGGGACATTCAGGGACACATGGGGACAGTTGGGGACACTTGGGGACCCCTGGGGACACCTGAGGTCACACTTGGGGACAGCTGGGGACACACCTGGGTCACACCTGGGGACACTTGGGGACACCTGGGGACACACCTGGGGATACCTGGCACACACCTGGCACATCTGGCTCACACCTGACACACCTGGCACACACCTGGGCACACCTGGCACACACCTGGGCACCCCTGGCTCACACCTGGCACATCTGGCTCACACCTGGCACACACCTGGCACACACCTGGCACACATCTGGCACACACCTGGCACACACCTGGCACATCTGGCACACATCTGGCTCACACCTGGCTCACACCTGGCACATCTGGCTCACACCTGGCACATCTGGCTCACACCTGGCACACACCTGGCACACACCTGGCTCACACCTGGCTCACACCTGGGCACACCTGGCTCACACCTGGCACACACCTGGCACACATCTGGCACACCTGGCTCACACCTGGCTCACACCTGGCTCG